CCTAATATTTAGTCTGTTTGCAATATGGTCCCCCAACATTTAGTCTGTTTGCAATGGTCCCTGACCGTTTGGTGCCGTTACACTGCTTAGTACGTTTGCAATATGGTCACTGAACTTTTCAGGTGCTTGCATTTAGGTCCCCCAAACTTTTAAAACTTGCAACATAGTCCTAAATTTCATTTTAAACCCCAAATTCCTTTTCGATCTCAAATTTTCTTTTTCATTTCTCTCTTCTCATTTCCAGCGTAACTTTTCAGTTGGGGATGCATGAGAAATTCTAATCTAACTTTGAATTATGTGGAGGTGTTGACTTGAATAAGGGTCCATTGAGAGAAGACACGACCAAGGGACTATCGGCACCATCAACAATTCAAGGTGTAATGTTAGATACATGTCATCTCAGGTGAAGCATAGATGTTCGATGAAATGCTTGTGAGAAAAAAAATGGGGATAAAAATGCAGAGTTGACAAATACTACTAAGATGAACTAAGTATCATTGTTGAAATCACCAACAAAGCTAGAATTATTTTGTATAAATGACATATAATAATTTCTTCGTTTAATCCTTATGCTTAAAGATTTTCCAATAGATGATCAAATATAATGAAATCCCAAACAGCGCATTCACCTCTCGTTTGGTTTTTGTTATTCAACTTTCCGCCATGTAAAATTGTAAACCCAAGCAGTGCTCTGTCTTTCAGCTTTTTTATTTACAAAGAAAAAATGGAGGAAGAATTGCTGGAACGCAACACCGATTGTGTTTATTTCTCTCCCCTCACTTGCAAGAAGGTATTTATTTTATCTTTTGGGCTATCCGGAAGTAAGCTTTTCCTCTTTCGCACTTTCCCATTTTCAGCTCGCATTATGTGATTTTTGTTGAATTTTTTATGTTTCTGGAACTGCATGTCAATGATCTGGATATTCAGTGTTAGTTTTGAACCAAAACCATCTAATTTTCTTTCTTTCTTCTTAATCAAAACTTTTAGTACTCCTTATGAAAGATATTCAGTCCATCAGAATAGAAGTGAAATAGGATATTTGGCTAAATTTTTTGATCTTCTTGTTTGGTTTTTCTTTAAACCAGGGAATTGGTTATGAGTATCAACATAGTGAAATCGCCAGGCTCAATCCGAGAGATTGCTGGTACTAGTTTACTGGGAATTGTATTGATCCAACCTATGGTTTTCGGTGTCCTGTGAGCTCATATTTTTTAATAAGTTCATGTTGATTATGGGACAGATATATCGTGAACGAATTAAATTTTTTTACATGTTTTGGAAATTTTACAGTTGAATTGTATTGAATTATAACTTTAGAAGACAATTTTACATGCACGCAACTTGAAAGGCATCATGACAGGGTAGTATATTTGGAGCAGCTACTTGATCCTGTCATGATGCCTTTCGAGTTGCGAAAGAGACTGAGAGGTGAATGTGCTGTTTGGGATTTCATTATATTTGATCATCTGTTGGAAAATCTTTAAGAGCAAGGAATAAACGAAGAAATTATTATATATCATTTATACAATGATACTTAGTTCATCTTAGTAGAATTTGTCAACTATGCATTTCTAACCCCATTTTTTTCTCACAAGCATTTTATCGAACATCTATGCTTCACCTAAGATGACATGTATCTAACATTATACCTTGAATCGTTGATGGTCCCGATAGTCCCTTGGTCGAGTCTTCTCTCAATGGACCTTTATTCAAGTTAACACTTCCACATAATTCAAAGTTAGATTAGAATTTCCCATGCATCCCCGACTGATAAGTTACGCTGGAAATGAGAAGAGAGAAGCGAAAAAGGAAATTCGAGATCGAAAAGGAATTTGGGGTTTAGAATAAAATTTAGGACTATATTGCAAGTTTTAAAAATTAGGATACCTAAATGCAAGCGCCTGAAAAGTTCAGTGACCATATTGCAAACGTACTAATGACAGTGTAACAACGTCAAACGGTTGGGGACCATATTGCAAACAGACTAAATGTTGGGGGACCATATTACAAACGAACTAAATGTTGGGGGACTGTGTTGCAACTTTTAAAAGTTGGGGGAACTAAATGAAAGCTTTAGAAAAATTTAGTGACCATTACTATACTTTACCCTTATTTATATTATCGTGGCACTAATTGATTATAGTTCAAACGACTCACCCTAGTCATACATAATATACATAAACGACATGACTGTATTATATAATTTTTAAATAATTTGAATTTTTAAAATTCATACACAAATCAATTTTAAAATTTTAATTATTATTTTAAATTGAATTTAATAACTTAATTTAAATAAATCAGAATTAAAAAAATTCAAGTAGAATCTAATTTTATAGACCCCTACCTTTAGCTTCCATCCCCGACTAACTATGGTTTCCGAGATTCACCTCCAGCTTGCTACACCATTTTATTGTTAGGATTCATAGCAAAAGCCAAGTCCGAGGCCAACATTTTGATGCTTATGGCTCCACTTTGAGAGGCAACCACAATACATTTCCTCACTCCCTCGATTTAGCATTCACTCTCTTAGCAAAACAATGTCCAGATCAATGGATCTCCTTCCATCTCCCATTGTAACTGATGAATCAGAGATTTGCTAGACCAGACACTTGATGGACCTTCTAGAAGCAGCTCACGAGACCAACCACCAAACTCAAAGACTCTCACTTTTTCTGGGCTCTCACTTGCTTGGTCCTTCCTAAATTCTGGTATTGCAAGTTCTAGTTACTTGCTCTCGGTGGCAGAAGGTAGAGAAGTTTGTAATCCCGGAGTGGGAAACGTAAGGGATGACTTCACTTTCACTGGTAACACATTTGCTTCGGCTTCGACCTCACTCCACTGATCTTTTGCGACTACTTATGGGGCAAAATCTTTTGCCAATGCTATCGTGAATTCGAGGTATCTAAAGCCAACTCAGTCCCTTCTAGACGAAGTCGTCAATATTGGTGGCAAAAATGTGGAGGAAAATTTCTTTAGGAAGTTTTATAGAGGTGACAGAGGAAAAAGTTCAAGACTTGCCTCTGAATTAAAAGCAGAATTTTGCAGTAATGAGATACAACTGCCTGAAAAGCACGAGCCCCGAGTTAGGCTGGCGAAGCTAGTTGGATTACTGGAGGAGGTTAGCTGTTTGAATGGCGTTGTTGGATGTTCTATCGTGTTTACTTTTGTTTTTACTCAAAAATCACTCGAGTTTTAATTTATGAATTCGTTATTGTTTCGTTTTCATGTTGAGCTCAGATACGAGAAACACTACCAGCAACTGGAAGAAGCGGTCTCATCATTTGAATTTTTAGCTGGTTGAGGAGCAGCCAGGTCGTACACTGCTTTGGCACTCCAAGCAATGTCTGGGCATTTTAGCTACCTAAGGGATGCCATAGTATCTCAAATAAATGTTACCAGAAGAAAGTTTGTACATGATTTACCGACAATCAACGGGGGATTCTCACAACTTAGCTTGTTTGATAGAGGTTCCGGGCAGAACCGACAGTCCCTTCAACAACTTGGAAGTATCTCTAGCCATGAGCATGCTTGGAAGCCCATCCGAGGACTGCCAGAAACCGCAGTAACAATCCTTTCACCCGTAAGTACATATTTGAGTTTAATCGCTTCTGCATTGAGACAATGTAATTACCATTTTGTTACATTATTCTCAACAGTTATCCAACAGACTCGGAGAAGCTAATGTTGGCATCACAGACGGGCCTGACCAAGAATCAAGGATGATCTCTTGTATATAAGTATTGCAATATGCTCAACTGATGACTATATTTTAATGCCAATCTTGGGTGTTTGTTACTTCTGTCAACCCAGATATCAAACTGGTTTATAAATGCTCGAGTTCGGCTGTGGAAGCCTATGATAGAAGAAACGTACAAAGAGGAGACTGCAGACAGTCCTCAAGTCTGATACTTCATTTGCCAACAGTTCCGTTGGCAGGGAGGGAATCACTGATCAAGCTGAGGGATGACATGCACCAGTTTTGAGTTTAGACGTATTGATTCTGTAACCTTCATTTCTTAGACTCATCTGGTTGCTTACAAATTATTTTATCCTTTTTTTTAGTTGTTAAATCAATAAATGGAACAAAATTGAAAGGAAAAACTATTTTTTATAGAAAATTTTAATTTTATTATAAAAGAAGTATTATAAACAGTGTACAAATTGTAACATTAGAACCTTACCGAATCTTATTCCCACTTGGCCAATCATCGTGATTGGCAGAAGTGAACTTCCTACAAAAGCAAATTGTGCCACGCCACGTGGGAAAATCGCAACGATTAATTAAGTGCGAAAAATTGTTCTTCGTCTGACTTAGCAACTTTTTTTTCCTCCGAATTCCCTTCCTGCTCTCTTCTTCTATCTCTCGCTGGCACGGAAGCCATGACTAGTTCCTCCGCTCTTCACGCAAGGTTTGCATATTTTGGTTCATTTTTCTGATTTAATCTCGTTACCTATTTGTCCATAGTTTGGGTTGCGTCTAATGGGTTATTTCTCTTTTCTTTTCCTTTTTATATTTGTTGATTTTTGTGACTATATTTCTGGAGTATGTTTTTGCGTAGGCTTTAAGCAAGATCGCATGTAATAGACTCCAGAAAGAGCTCGTTGAGTGGAAGGTTAATCCACGTTGGATTTAAGCACAAGGTCACTGATAATCTTCAAAGGTTTTGTTACTATTTCAATTAATTTATTTTTTAAAAACTCAGGGATTAATTAGGGATTTTAGTTCCTAATTTCTTGTACTTTTTGTTGAAAGATGGATAATTGAAGTCAACGGAACCCCTGGAACGCTTTATGCCAATGAAACTTATCAGCTTCAGGTTGATTTTCCTGAGCATTACCCTATGGAGGCACCACAGGTATCTTTTCTCTTTTTGTTTTGTTTAGTAAATAGTGAAAATGAAAAAAAAGAAAAAGAGAAAAGAAAGTGACAATTGAATTTGAATGGGAATAATTTATTTTCGTTTACGATTACTATTGTATTTATCAATGAATATTAGGTATTCATATTTATAGCAATGGACATATTTGTTTAGGTATTCTTCTTAATCATCACTATACTCGTTATTTGTAGGGTTATTCATTGTTTCTCTCGTTGCTTACTACAAATAATTTATACATAACTGTTTTTTAGAATCTTACTGCTTGAAGTTTGTATGATGTTTATGGTTGATTGATAATGATGGTTTTGTGATGTTTGCTTGTAAACATAAATGTAATACATCTTCTTGACATATCACTTTGAATTTACTGTCGCCATCACCTTCTCATAGTCTCATAATTATGGAGAGTTTACTCAGTTCTCAGTAGTCATGTGTTTTTTAAAAAAAAAAATCTGATTCTAGTTAGAAATTTGAAGGACTGGCAGACTGGATAAGTGGAAGGTCCTCTGATGCGTCAATGAAATAGCATACCTCCACTGAAACTGCTTTCATTGGCTACGAAAAATAAGTAAATGATTGATGTATCTATTTTTATTGTTGTTATTTAATAGTAGTTCTTTAGAAAATTACTTATACTTGGGACCTTTAAACTCCTGCTGCACTGTTGTCATTTTTATCATTTTGTTTTGTTTTACTCAAGATGCGAGTATTAAGATTTGATCAGAACTGTTGCATAGATTTTTGGTGCTGAGTACTTTCTGATTCCGCATCAGAAAATAGTTATAGCCCTGCAGAGTGATGTGGTAAACTCGCCCATGTTTTTCGTCCAAACGTGACTACCTAGAGAAGTTTTTTGTACATACTAAGAGACACTATATACATTACTGTTTATGGGAGATGTGTAAGAAAGCTTGTTTGTTGATGAAAATATTAGTACAAATTACAAGGTATTTGTTTTATGCAGTTCATCTCAGTACAGGGCAAGTCTTGACCGTATAATGTTGTATTACTCGAGTAAAATTTAGTTCATCCTTAAAGTTTGTCTTCTTTGTCTTTTGCACTAGATTTGCTCCTCAAGGTGTTGATGATTTTGTGAGAGAGTCGTGTAGATGTTGAATATGGTATTTTGGTCCTAACCTGTCTTTCTTTAGATAATTGCCTAATTGTAAGCTTTTTGGGCCTTAAAACAATCTGTTACGGGTTCTGTTTCATGATTTGAATCGTAATTATGGTCTTGGTGATTGTGCTTCATGTGTTTGTGAGTTTTCATTTTTATTCAAGCTTCTGATGCTCCCATTTTATTTAGGATCTGGTTAGTGATGCCAGTATATCATGGTCCAGAACAGTGTATGGCAAATTTTTAGCGTAATGAAATGATGTTGTGCTGTTTCATGTACGCATTCAGGATGATATAGGTTGCAGGAGGAAACAATAGACATTGTAACTTGCTAGAGTCGATAGAAAAAAGAAAATTAGGCACACCAACTCACCAAGTCCAAAGATAATGTAGAAAAACAGGAAAGGCTACTTGAGCATTAATATCTGTTTTGTACCTTTTTCATACATATGTTGTCAATTGTGTACCTAAACAACATTCAAATCAAAATGCTTATATTTTGTAGATACTTTGTATGATAGCTGGTCCCCAGCCATGACTGTCAGTTCTGTCTGTATCAGCATTCTCTCCATGTTATCAAGTTCAACCGTGAAGGTTTGTTGGAACTGTTACTGTTTTGTTCATTTGTTTTCGTTTTCCAAGATCAAGTGGAATACCGACTTCACTTTGTCATTATGCAGCAACGGCCAACTGATAATAATCAATACATTAAGAACTGCTGGAATGGCAGGTCCCCTAAGGAGACAAGATGGTGGTTCCATGATGATAAAGTGTAACAATGTAAACCTTTTTTTTCTGTAATCTGTGTATAACAATGAGGTTATTATCAAGTGAGTTGATAAGGGAGGATGACCTTCCATAACTGTCATGGTAACGTTAAATGCGTTGTTCCTGTGTATGAAATTGTCAATCAAACAAAGATTTGATTCGAATGTTGCTGCCTCCTAGGGGCAGAGTAGATGGAAATCCAACATAAACCTTCTGTTAATTGTGGTGGGACTGCAAGGACAGCTAACGTCGTTTCAGGTTGATGAAATGCTTGTATGTACAGCTAACTTATGCTGTTGATAATATCAACGTAAAGTGAAAATTCTGTCAGAATGGCGTTGAGGCTTGCAAGGAACTTAGAGATGTAGTCTAGAATATGCTGGAGTTTTCCAAGTTCAATCTAATTTACACTGCGGGTAGCTGGAGCCGTGGTCTGACTTGTCATTGATTAACTGATTGTCTTTTATGATCATTATGATCAAAGAGAAGAAAGAAGAATGAAAATTGACATCTTAATCCGTAAAGTTTAGGCCATGTATATTGGCCGAATTGGATTGGGATCTAGTTCTCAAAAGGTCAGGCCCTGCCCATCCGATCCTGGAAATGCAATTATTTGTACGGTTCTGGTTCCCATCCGGTCTATTGCAAAAAAGTAAGAGAAAAGATGACCGGAGAATGGCTCTATGAGCCGTACGAGGTTTCCTTACTAACAACGAAGCATTCTTTCTGTCATTGGCTTACACCAGTATGAGTGTACTTTGGATAGCTGAACCTAGAATCTTGAGCCCTGCATCCGGGGGTTGGTGTAACATTCTATTTCATTTCTCTATTGTGCCACTGCAATAATTTTTGGAGGGTGTTGAGGATTGAGTAAGCATCCCAACCTTCCTTTTTTATTCTGGTACCATTGCTAGGTGAAGTTTATCTGTGCTAAATCTATCAACTTTGTCTCGTCGATTTACTTTTGTGGGTGTTTCTTTATGCCATCCTCAATTCAGTTATTGAAGTGATAGATTCCGGCAGTTTTGGAGTGGCACCGTGGGGAAATGTTAGGGTTATTAGTAAACAGATAACATTGTTTTTCTGTTCATTCCAAAAGCTTGTTCTTTACAACATATATTTTTAGTATATATCCCTGCTATAACTCGATATAGCATGGCCTGTACACGAGACAAAATTGCTAAACTTCCAATATGCTTAAGCTTTACCTAACATAAACTAACTCTTTTTAGTGATTATTACAGCTAACAGGAAAGCGAAAGAAGCCTTTTCAAGCCAAAAGAAGAGATTATGTTGTTGATTGAAGGCAATGCAGTTTGCAGTCTAGAAGCTCCATCAAATTGTGAGTTGGAAATTGACACCTGAGTTTTTTTCACTGCGTATACATTAACTCTATTTTTTAATAGTTTAAAAGGATTATAATATAATATTTATTCATAATTTTTTTAATCATTTATAACGTGCACATTCTATAAATGATTATACTCTAACGTAGAATTTCAAGTGAAAACGACACTCTTTAATCAAACTCATTCTCAATCTCTTTCTGCTATGTTCATCAAATTCTGATTATGCCATTTAAAAAAAAATCACATTAACTGCCTGATGATAATGATAGGGAAGGATTCAAAGCACGTTTCTATTATACCATGTCTTACAAACTACTACTGCTTAAAAAAATCGTTTTTTTTTCTGAGATGATGTTGCCAATCCTGTCGGTGCTTGCAAGTGTGCCCTGGGAACGCGACAAAGACTTTGGAAAAACAATCCCCGTCGGTTCATCCTGCAACTACAGGGATATACCGAAGGCTAAACTATACCCTAAATTTATTTTGTGTATAAATTTTTTTTCATTAAAGATATTTATTTAATATTTTTTTGTTATACTTTTAAGTGTCTATTATTAAAAAAATTAATTAGCACATTTCATGTCTAATTTTTTTTTTAAATATTTTTAAATAATATTTTATTTTTAAAACAACAACAATAAAAATCCTATTCCCATATGCAATGAGATAAGGGGGTAGGGTAGTAGGCTGCCCCTAACGTCAAGTTGAGAGCAGCTTCCGCTGAAGACCTCCGGCAGTCAGAAAAAAAAAAAAGATAAATTACATGCATGTATAAATAAATAAATAAATACATAGTTGAATAGTCTTCATATGCGCGTATGTATTGGAATTAATCCCCGAGTAAAAATATCTGCATAAAGACAGAAACGTAAGTCCCAGCTAAACTTAGAAGGAAGAAACATGCAGAGAAGGATATACAGAATTCAGCGATAGCAAGCTACGAGAAGGAATAAAGTCAAATGGGTTAAAACCTATAACTAAGGTAACATTACTTCGCTACCCTAGTTCTAAGCCTTCATAAATTACAATGACAGAAACCTATAAAAAGTAGAAGTCATGGAAATTAATACAAATGCATTAAAAAACAGACAAAGATGCTACACCCTATGGTTGTGACCCACACTACTTAAGGCTAGAAGGGTTATCTGACTACGCTCAGCTCCAAGGCATATCATTTGCAGTATAACTTAAGTCGAGAAGGGTTATCTTCCAACAAAAGACCTAGGAGTTCGATTACACTGAGCTCAAAGGCACATCATTTAACAGCATAGCTCAAGGCAATAAGGGCTATTTGTCAACAAAATTATCGAGTTCGATTCCATTCAGCTCGATGGAACATCAATCACACTACTTTTCGGTGGTAGCCGAGGTTTTCAAGTCAATAAGATGACCTGGGTTAGCCGTGCCTTAGTGACTACAAACCGTTTTTCCGGCAGCATAGCTTAAGTCGAGAAAAACTATCTGTTAACGAAGACCTTCCGAGTTCGATTTCATTCAGCTCGAGAGCCTATCAACCACATGGTAGAATCAAATAATTATTTTCCAGTCGAATGTTTAAACCAAGGTCTTTAAACCGAGAAGAAGATCGAAGTTGACTACAATTGGGCAACGAGAAGCCACATTCCGATTCAAATTCCGAACTATGGCTTCAATTCCATATCGTTTCAAGATGGACTCGACTTCATAACGAAGGAGTCATCTGCAACTCAATTCGACATAGAGTTATTCTTAATTGAAATATCAGAATCAATTTTCAACTCCACCGAACGAAAATTTGTGTCCTTTTATCTTTGTCCTATTTTTCGTTACACGAAAAAAGACAAAGAGGGGCAGTTGTAGACACTAATATTTTGCCAAAATCTCAACCCACCTCCCCGAGAAATCCGGCCACACCACTCACATCCCGAATCGTCTAGAGCAAGCAAAACAAACAACCAACAAACGAGCATTTTAGTAGGAATTAAACTCTCTAAAAATAGTTTTTCCTAAAGCTATAAATACATACGTAAACGAACAAAAATAGAGGGGGAAATACGGGGAAGAAATACGAGAGAAAACTAAAGGATTCAAAGCAAGTTACACATAAAAATCATTCTAAAAAAAGAGAGAAAAACGTGAAATCAAAATCAGAGGAAGGGGTAATCGATCTAAAAAAAAATAAGAGATGAGAGTTTCGTTTTTACCTTGGCCTTTCGAGGTCTCTTTGCCGTGTACGAGGTCGTCGTTCGTCGGAGTTTTTAGCGTGGAGCATCCACCAAGGCGGTGGCCATTTGGCCCTTGGTCCTTTGGGTCGACGCTGCATGAGTGAAGGGAGGAGATGTTGGAGATAGATTCGGGCAGACTGAAGTGAAGAGAAAGGGGAAGTGCATTTTTATTTTTTTGGTTTCGTGGATCTACTGGAAATGATAAATATGAGTTTGTTTACTTTAAGTTTTGGGTAAACCATGTGACAGGTCCCTGTAGTCTGGACACTTCATGCTTTATCATTTGTCTTAAAGGTTAATCATTTAATAGTCCCCTTTACTTTAGCGCTCTTTTAGTTTTGCTCATCAGTTTGTGGTATAATCATACTTCAATTCTCAAACTTTATGAGTATATTTACAATCTGGTCATTATTTTAAGGGTGAATCGCATTTTAATCCCTCATAGTTAGCCACATATTGTTATTGTGGTCATTAATTCCATCTTTTATTTATTTGTCATGATTTAGGCTACATGTTTCGTTTTATTTCATTTTGGTCGTTTGTCATGTTATTTATTTATTTATTTCGAATAGTTCTAATAGTTTTTATTATTCTTATTTTGGTCACTATTTTTGTCATAATTTGCTTGCTTTTTTTTCTTCAATTTGATCCTCTAAGTTTTATTTTATTTTATTATTATTATTTTTTAAGATTTTTTCCTTCATATTGTTTTCATTTAATGGATTTTAAAATTTAATTTTTTTTATTTTTTTCTTCAATTTCGTTAATGTTTTTTTCTTTGTTTTTTTTAAAAAAAATTCATTTAATTTTCCTTTTTTTGTTTTCTATAAATTATTTTTTAATTCTATTTTTATTTAATTTTTTCCTGACTTATTCTTTTTTTCTTTTTTTTTAATTTATTTAATTTTTTATCCTCTTTGATTTTTTTTTTATTTTTTTTCTCTTTTGATTTATTATTTTGTTTTGTTTTGTTCCTTTGAGTTATTTAATATTTATTATTTTTTATCTAACATTTTTCGACTTTTCTTTTAGAAGAACTCCAATCAATCAAAGGTAAATAATTCTAATCAAATTTTTAAATTTAAATTTAAATTTAAATTCTTAATTTTTGCAATTAAAGAAACCGACAAATTAATTGATACCGAAAGGGCGGTTCAAGGATGCTAATCCTTCCTTGACCGTAACCGACTCCCGAACTCGATACACTTCTGGTAAAACGCAGATCAGGTAAGATGGTATCCGATATACCTAAATATTGTTTTAAAAATGATCGGTGGCGACTCTAACCCATTTCACTCAAGTCGAAGTCCAATTTCAGACCCAACCTAAAGGCGATTCCGACACTCAACAATAGTCTTCCCACTTTAGATGATTGGTGGGGGAAAAGGTGGTTTTCGATGTGGTACTTTCAATTCCATTACATGTACCCCAACAGCATCCAGAAAGAGACCTTGCCTGCCAATGAATCCAACAATCTTGCCTTCATTCATTTTGTTAGTGAAAGAAGGCCATTGTTCATCTCCATACGGCCCATGTTCTCTTTGTTGGTGTAGAATGTTAGTGACTTTATCACATCGGGTCCCATGTACATTAAAGGCCCGAAGGTTCTCGTGATGTGTGTCAAAATCTCAGAGGTATAATCAAACATTATCTGGCATGTGCAACAAAAAGTCCATTAGAAGTATTAGCTTTATTGATATGAACTATAGAAGAGAAAAGCTACTAGATCTAGACTCACCCTTTCTTTTTTAAATCCTCCTATCCCTCCATTGCTTCCCCACAACGATTGTCCCTCACGATCATAGCAGACCTTCAGCGATACGATCCCAACATTGCGCGACAAAACAATTTGCCTTACACCGGTGTAGGTTCCGTCATCAAACATGGCTCCACCATGGCCACCCCCGTGTCCATAGGTTGACACTTATGTTAATTTTGGAGGAGCTTTATGTATAGTACTCTGAAATGAAACCTTGAACGTGCAAAAGAAGAAGAAATGATATCATAACGCATATAAAAGCGAAACCAAAATTATAGTTCTTACCTTGCTTTTGGTTTCTACATCACTTGAATCGTCAGAGCTACAAGAACCAGAAGTTTGCCTTTTGAGCTCCCTTGGCTGGGGAGTCCCAATTGGATCCCTCTGTCTCACGGCTAGAACAATTTCGTAGTTTTCTCCAACACTTGAATCGTCAGAGCTACTAGAACTAGAAGTTTGCCTTTTGAGTTCCCTTGGCTGGGGAGTCCCAATTCCATCCCTCTGTCTCACGGCTAGAACAATTTCGTAGCTTTCTCCAACACTTTCCTGGATCACTGAATAGCCACTTTTGTCAGCTCCGTTGGCAGTGAAACTTTGGGCATGAACAATAGGCTTTGAGGGATTTAGTTTTGGGATTGGCCTTGAATGCACTCCAATTGAATCCAAATACCAACCACGCCTGCCATGAAATCCAACAATCTTGCCTTCAGTCATGGAGAAACTAGTTCCTTGTTCAATACCAAAGGGTCCATATGTTTTCCTGTTGTTATGGAATGTCATAGACCGAACAAGAATTGATCCTCATTCCGTCATTCTCCCATAGTAGCCATGTACTGAAGTAAGAAACTCATCTGGAAAATCAAGTTTGACCTAAAAGGAATTTATATTACACAAAGAATATCAGCCAACTGAATTTTAGTACCGTCCACTATATATATAGCAAGCTATAATGATTAAGATATGCCACTTCATGATGAACCTCAAAACGGAGTTCTAATGAATTCTATGAATTTTAAGATTCTACCCCATAGCTTTTCCAATCAAGTATCAACCTAAGCATGAGATGACTTGCACGACAAGTATCCTAAAAGACACTAAAGTCGGTAAAATTACCATTTAATGTGATACGGATACCTACTATTAAGCACGGTAATCAATAGTTGTTTTGATGAACTTGTTATCAAAATCAAGGAATGAAGCCTGACCTTATCTATCTTGGAGCCTCCATGCTCCGTTGACCAAACAGAGTTCCCCTTATTGTCATATTCGATCTGAATTGAGTCAATGCCCGATCCATGAGCTATCACCAATTGCCTTATCGTGGTGTAAACCCCGTCATCCCAACGATATCCTCCTTGGCCTCCCCATGACCAAACTGCTGCAGGTTTCTGATCATCCTCAATACTCTGCCAGCGTCATGCAGGATAAATTAACTCGCAAGAAAATCAATCAATAAACTGAAGAAACAATGGTTGAACCGAAATAAAGTCGATTACCATTTCTCAAGGAGCAAAGGCTTGGCTGATTACTTGACGAGAACAGGTGTAAGAAGCTGGTTTAGAGCGACACTGAGGAAGTGGATGGGAGATATGATTGGTACTCATAAGCAGAAAAAAGGGGGCATTTTGGAGTTGAATTATGATATCGACCAGATATGGTTTTGATTTTTCAGACTTTATACTGCAGAAGAAGCTTATTAAGTTTTCCACTATGAAGGGAAACGATTCGAAGGAAAGGAATCGGATGCACCAAAAGCACTGCGTTAATGAAAAGAGCTTTATCTTCTCCCAAGAAATGTTCCACCTTTTTCTGACGGTCAGGTTTTGTGTTAAGTGAAAGGATACTGTCATGGAGGAGAATCATCAGTCATTAATTCCCTGAATTTGGAGATGAGCTTGTTCAGCTATCCAAAACTTTTTCAACCTTGTTAACAGATTTTCTTTTGTCAGTCATGTCAAGAAGCTTCAGTGAATTAACTCAGCTACGCACGTCGGTTTTTACTCGTTGATGGTTAAGGGGAGGATCCGTTCCTTGTCATGAATTGACAGCAGTTCTGATAGTGATTTTAGGCACACAGAGAAACTCAACTTATCCATACTTCGGCTATCCAATGAGCCAATGTTGGAGGGAAAAAGGCCCTGTAAAGGAATGCGAGGTTTAGATATCGATTTCGGTTTAAGGTTTAGATATATTATAAGCATGGACAGAAAACACTATGATCTTTATGACCGTAGATGCTCCACAATGGCAAGGCCTATTACAAGGATCATTCAAAATTTCCTGTTCAAAGGGCAACAACGTGCATTTAATCCCTCTTCCGAATGCATTATGTGTCTAAAGTCCAGTCCAGTCGAATTATCTGTTATTATTGTAGAAAATTCGATCACAAAAAATCATGGTGCCAAAATATTTCATTCGACGTCAGCCTAAGAATATCTTTCAACTTATCAAAGTGGTGATTTTAATACAATCATGATGGATAATTAAGTAAATGGTGATTTTAATACAATCATGATGGATAATTAAGTAACAAACAAGATTGTAGGTATCGATAATATCACCTTAATAAGAGTTTGGTTATACTATTTCATGTTCTCCTATATACTATATAATAATTATTATTTTTGAATCGTTTGGAGGTGATATATGGTAATATTTGTTTAGAATTTTTCTAGTTGTTGACTGTGCACACACACCCTACAGACGTAATTATTCGAACTTAAGACCTCTAAAGAGAATAATACTCTCGCTTACTATTAAGGCGGCTTGATGGGTTCTAGTTATAATTAATTTAAAAGTGTAAGAGCTGAGTTTGTTTGAATTTAATGTTGTTAAAGCAAGCTCTTTCCCAGCCGTGTGGGGACTAGTTAAAGCCCTTTGAAAAGGCCTGATTAAGGATCTTGGTGACTACCGAATAGTGGGAAAAGAGGATAATGCTTTAAACTTGCATCATGTGATCAAAGATGGCGTTTAAGACGTGGTCAATACTTTTTTCTTTAAAAAAATGGTTGTTAGACTTGCGATGATGAAAGTGGACAAATATTACAAATCATAGAAAATCTGGACAAGCATGTTTCTTTTGAACATGTTGCTTGCACCGACGTAAACGGAACGGAGATCTAGCGGCACACAACACAACTTCATAACATCTTGAAATCTGAAAACAAACAAACGGCCAGTTAACGGCGCTCCTCCACAAGTTCACAAAGCATCAACTTTATTTATTTTCAAAAGGTAGCCTGGCCCCAAGTTCCTTCCAACGTTATCCGCAATTCGCTACAGTCGTCTTCACATTACGTGATTGATTGATTAACGTCGTTAAACTTTCTTTAGATCATCTTCCACCTGTCTTCCTGTATCACTTTTATAATAATGATGAAGCAAGTTAATTAGTTTGGTTTGCTCGTCTTTATTCACACCTAAAAAATGTCGGCTTGTTAAAAACCAGATGAAAATGTCAATTTAGGACGAACATATAAAAACCATGGGGGTTGTATTTAATTATTCATTAACTGATGCTTTAATTAATTAATTTAGTTGAGGAGTCATGCATGCAACAACCATACAGGAAATTACAAATATTAGGTAACTGCGAGGACCCATGTGAAGGGAAATATGGCCGAGGGACATCGTCTTCCACGAAAAATTAAAATTATTATATATTTTAAATTTTTCATGTATTTTTATTAAAAATTTACTTTTGTCCTTTAAAATGTTATATGTTTTTCCATCCTTAAAGTTTTAAAAAGAGAAAATAACCTCAGTGACCAAAAATCTTAGATAATATACGATTTTAACCAACTTTTTTTGGATTTGCGAAAGTGACCAACAAAATCGCAATGCGATCTCTAATTCGCATTGCGATCTCCACTATCGCAAATTCACGTTGCATTTCGCATTGCGATAGTTGAAAATCACGTTGCGTTTTTCCATTTCGCGTTGCGATAGTTGGAGATCGCGTTGCGATTTTCCATTTCGCGTTGCATTTCGCGTTGCGATAGTTGAAACCACGACCACGACCACGACCACGACCACGACCACGACCACGACCGACCCGAGACGAGACATACGGCGCGGCGGTGCGCGAGAGTCCCCCTTGTTCTCTATCACTCAACAAGGAAGTGGGAAAGCCAAGCCTTAAATACCATTCCCAATAGTGTTTCCAATACAATGTGGGATTGAGCATTACCAACACTTGTTTCAATACAATGTGATTATTTAGGAAACAATTAACAATCATGCACCTTAAAACAACTGAATCAACAACCAATTACATTAGTATTATACGATTAAATATGTCATAATTAAAAGTCAATCTACAATCAATCGCGATTATTGTAATTTTAAGCAAAACATTCAAAAATAATATCACTATTAAAGGCTCAATCCCACATAGTATTGGGAACAAGTGTTGGTAATGCTCAAATCCCACATAGTATTGGAAACACTATTGGGAATGGTATTTAAGGCTTGGCTTTCCCACTTCCTTGTTGAGTGATAGAGAACAAGGGGGACTCTCGCGCGCCGCCGCCGTCCGTCTCGGGTCGGGTCTGGTCGTGGTCGTGGTCGTGGTCATACGTGTCTTCGACACGTCCGCGCGGATACTATCTTTTTAAAAAAAATTCTTAAGAAACAAAATCTTTTTTTTTACTATCACAACGAATTTGGAAAATCGCAACGACAACTGTAGACTATCGCAACGTGAAATGGAAAATCGCAACGCGAATTTCAACTATCGCAACGCGAAATGGAAAATCGCAACGCGAATGTAGACTATCGCAACGCGAAATGGAAAATCGCAACGCGAAATGGAAAATCGCAACGCGATTTTCAACTATCGCAACGTGAAATGGAAAATCGCAACTCGATTTTCAACTATCGCAATGCGAAATGGAAAATCGCAACGCGATTTTCAACTATCGCAACGTGAAATGGAAAATCGCAACTCGATTTTCAACTATCGCAACGCGAAATGCAACGCGAATTTGCGATAGTTGAGATCGCAATGCGAATTAGAGATTGCATTGCGATTTTGTTGGTCATTTTCGCAAATCCAAAAAAAGTTGGTCAAAATCGTATATTATCTGGGATTTTTGGTCACTGAGGTTATTTTCTCTTTTAAAAATTCATTCTTTTTAACATAAAATTATGTATATATCGCTAGTTAAATTCTCTTAGGTTGAAATTTGATTTAATAGCAAGAAGATGGGTTTTGGTTATGAATTTGGAAGCTGTCTATATTTTCTCAAGGTGTGAGTCATACAGAGGTTTTATCTAAAAAGTCTTATACCTTGGTTGAAATGTTTTATGAAAGTTTGGCTACATGTACCAACTGTTAGGTGGCTTAGTGAGATTTTATGTTAAATTCTTTAAGATAAAAGATTTGAATATTGATATTATGAATAGAATAAATAAATGTCGTTCTTAGAACGAACACTTATAATATCTGATTTAAATTAAATGATCAATAAATTAGATACGGCCAGGTGATTAAGAAAAAAATTTAACTACAAATAGTATTATAATTAATGTGTACCGTTTAAGTAAAACATCAATAGGTTCTGAAATTTTGAATAAAAAGTTATCTCAATTACTATCTTAACTTGGTAAAACACACTTTGGGTTAATAAATGAAAAGTTTAAAAATAAAGTTTAAATAATTTAATTTAATTAATTTTATAATGAATTATAGAGTAAATAGTTTTAAGGACCCGATCCTTTAGGGTAATGCTGTTGGCCTACCTTAGATCTTCCTAATTTTTTACGAAACATTGTACGCGGCAGAAAAAATGACCATCCAGCTCAGTTGGTAGATCACAAGGCTCTTAATCTTGGGGTCGTGTGATCATGTCATACGGAAGACATTTTATAATTTGGAGGTCTCCTATGGAAGCTACTCTCAACCTGACGTTGGGGGCAGACTACTATCCTACCTCCCCTTATCCCATTACATATGGGAATTAGGGTCAGCTAATTTTTTTTTATTGTACGCGGCAGAAGTGCAGTATCATTAGATTTAATTTATTTTTAAACTAAATAAAATTGCACATGGGCGAGCCGAGGTTGGTGGCCATTCTCTACCAATCCGCACTGGCTCTAAACCAGGTTTTAACCTAAAACATTAATCAACTTATGCTCTAAGCCAACTGTGTATGGTTTTTAGGGGCCAGTATTCCTCTTTAAGAGAATCAACAGATGTAAACATGGAGACCACCAAGGAAAAGTAAATCAGAAGTTAACAACCTTTCTTTATTTTCAATTAACCCATATATTTATCTTCTAATATTGATAAAATAAAACTTATTTCATTTATATCGTTATTTGATCTTAATTCTATCTCTAACTAAACTGTTACTCTTATGAATATATAATATTTACACAATTCATTATAAATAAATGGGTAAAATATAGTAATTGTCACTGAACTTTTCTAAAGCTTTCATTTAGGTCCCCCAACTTTTAAAACTTGCAATACAATCCTCCAACATTTAGTCTGTTTGCAATATGGTCCCTCAACATTTAGTATGTTTGCAATATGGTCCCCGATGTAACTGTTGGGGGACTATATTGCAAACTGACCAAATGTTGGGGATTGTATTGCAAGTTTTAAAAGTTGAGGGACCTAAATGAAAGCTTTAGAAAAGTTAATTGACCATTACTATACTTTACCCTAAATTTAATTTTAGAATGATTTAATATTAATTTTATAAAATATATGAATAATTATTTAATCCATATTTCTAAATTAAGTGGGGAAAACATTTAACTTTAATTTAACAATTTTATAAGTTAAATATATGATGAAGCATAAATAAACTCATAACTTAAGTTAGTGGCTAAGCTTTTAAAAAATACTTTTCAAATTAAGTTGAAAACCACGACCCTAAAAAATTATTTGTTCTACGTTAATTCTCAAACAAACTTTTCAAAAACACTTGTTGAAATGAAAAATATTGCAGAAAGGAATGGATGTGAGATTCAACAGAGAAGCTGAAGAACCAGGCTTACTACCGCGTTCATGAATTTACCAAGCAATGATGATTACTATAATTTAAGGTAAGGGAAAACATAGCTTAGCCTGCAAGTTGTGGTTGTTTTCCAGATCAATGATCAAGATGATCTTATAAGGAAGTTTTTACAGGTTAATCAAAACAAAGCATGCACACAAAAGAATCTATTTATCAAGGAAAACCAAATTGATATGTTAGTCCGAAGAATTTAGGTTACAGTAATACATATAAGGAAAACGAATGGAAGACGTAAGAAATACAGATCGCAGCCGAGAGGAAACATAAAATTCTCTAATTTGAATGATTAGAATAGACCACACAATACAGAAAATCCAAGCAAGACGAGCCAAACAATATGAACCAAAGGCAGAGCTTGACCAGGAAACGAGGCGCTACCTCCATTCCCAACCTCGCAAAATCCTACTTTCGCTACGCGAGTTCCGGAGCACAACGCATCGGCGCAACCGCACCAATAGGTAACGTCATCGACGCCGCACACGGGCTCCGTTCGGAAGCAATTGACCGGGCACGATGCCGGCTTGGTGAATCGCGCGCAGACGCCTTCGTTCTCATCGGCGTTGGTGAAGCCTTCGGAAGGTAACCGGATAGATCCTGGACTATCCGGCAATGATCGCACGATCGGCGTCCGAAAACAGAAGAATAGGAGGAGGACGATTAAGAAATTGAGCTGAGTTACCGTGAACCACGACATATGTTTTACAATTGAAAGGATTTCTTGCAATTGATTCTGGAACCCTAACCCAACCATTTTGCGATGGCTATCACTTTATTCTTCTTCACCGGACAAACGTCGTTCAACTAACGTCTACCTGACTTTTCTTTTCAATCAATTTATGGGTAAAGTATAGTAATGGTCACTAAACTTTTCTAAATCTTTCATTTAGGTCCCCAATTTTTAAAACTTACAATACAATCCCCCAAGATTTAGTCCGTTTGCAATATGGGCACTCAACATTTAGTCCGTTTGGAATATGTCCTCTCAACATTTAGTCCGTTTGCAATATGGTCCCCGACGTAACTGTGGGGGACCATAATGCAAACGGACTAAATGTTTGGGGACTGTATTGCAAGTTTTAAAAGTTGAGAGACCTAAATGAAAGTTTTAGAAAAGTTCAGTGACTATTACTATACTTTACCCTAAATAAATAGGCCTCCGAACGTTCAGCGAATCGTTCACCGGGAAGTTCGTTTATGTTCGTTTATTTATTAAGCGAACATGAACAAAATTTTATGTTCATTTAATTAAATGAACGAACATGAATAGAGGGTTCGTTAGTTTATTTACGTTCGCGAACGTTCAGTAATATATTTGTTCATTTATATTCGTTCGTTTATATTCGTTTACTTTCGTTCGTATATGGTTGTTTATCTACGTTCATTTATGTTTAACCCAATCTCTCTAGACCCATTTAAAATATTGAGTCCATAAATTTTAATCTTATACCCATTAATATTTTAAAATTCAATTAATTTTACATACAAATAAAAAAACCCAAAACAATTAAATAAAATATAATCCTAAAATGGTTAGGAAAGAAGAAAAAATATATTTTCATTTATATTCGTTTGTGTTCGTTTATGTTCGTTCATTTGTGTTCTTTTATCATTTAAATGAACGAACACGAATAAGTTACATTCCTTAACGAACGAACACGAACAATAAATTTTTCGTTCGTTTCTGTTCATATTTGTTCATTTGTTCGGTTAAAACTAAACGAACGAACATGAACATACTTCCGTTCATGTTTGTTCGATTCGTTTACATGCCTATAAATAAATAACCCCATGAATAATTTGTTCTCCAAAATAATATCCCGGAGAAAATCGCCTCAGTGACCAAAAAAAAGTTATAATATACGATTTTAACCAACTTTTTTTGGATTTGCCAAAATGCCAAAATGAATCGCAACCGAAATAAAATCGCAACGCGATCGCCCAGAATCGCAAAAAAATTTCCAAAATCGCAACGCGAACGATCGCCCCAAATGCGAAGTACAAAATCGCAACGCGAAATGAAATCGCAACGCGATTCTTGAAATCGCAATAAAAATCGCAACGCGATCCGTAAAATCGCAACGAACACATAATCGCAACGCGTATAAATCGCAACGCGTATCCGTAAATCGCAACGCGTATCCGTAAATCGCAACGTATCCGTATATCGCAACGCATATCCGTAAATCGCAACGAGAATCCGTAAATCGCAACGATAATCCGTAAATCGCAACGATAATCCGTAAATCGCAACGAGAATCTGTAAATCGCAACGATAATCCGTAAATCGCAACGATAATCCGTAAATCGCAACGAGAATCTGTAAATCACAACACTTAAATTTTGGGTATATAACACTGAAATCATAAACTAAATCCCTAAATCGCAACTCATTCCATCTCCATCTATCACTCTCTCCGGCGACATCCGTTCCTATATCCAACGACATCCTTCCCAATCCGGCAACAGGTTTTAGTTTCGCAGCTCGTCTGTTTAGTAAATTAATTTACAACCATGAAATCATCTAATGTTGATCATGTTTGGATAGATTTGTGTTTTGGAGGGTCATGGGATAATGTTCATGGTGTTTACAATATATGCCTTTACCCATGAATCTTCAACTAAAATTGTCTTTACAAAAGTTAACTTATGAAACTCTAATGCTACGTGTTTCAAATAAATTGAATTTAGAGCCCCTAAGTGGATTTAGGCTATCTTATCAGAGAAATGGTAAAGTTTATTTATTAACCGACAATGAAGATGTTGAACGATTCATTGCTTATATTAGTGTTTCACAAGATGATGTTACATTGTATGTTGTTGAACCTAGAAGTAGTATTGTTGGGTCAGTAGCGGGTAGTAATCAACTAAGTTTTTCTCAAAACCCACAACCTTTCTCTAATCCAATCCCAATCAACTTTCAGCACCAAATTCCGGTTTTCGTATTGACCAGTTAGACGATGATGAGCCAACAGAAAAAATTGTGAGTACTAGTCAGTATTCGAAATTTGGTCTTGGTCAATATCCGGACTTTGATATTGGTCAATACACGGATTTTGATGATGTTTCAGAAGAAGAAACAGACCCTGCGTGTAATGATTTTGATATTGGTCAATACCCGAATTTTGATGATGAAACAGCCGTTGCCGAAGAATGTATTGTTGATGATAATGAGGAGGAAGTTACGACTGTGAATGAACATGTTGAACATCCATTCTGTAATTCATATAATCCTGAAGAAGAAAAAGAAGAAGAAAAAATCCCCGAAGAAAAGAAAATGCCACGGGCGTATAACTGGAATATGCCAGAATTACTTCAGATACCGGAAGAAGAGTTGGTAAAGAAAGCAGTTGATTGTTACACAAAAGTTATTCGTATCAAGAAAGATGATTGTTTTGATACAAATGAAGACTTGAAGATAGCTTTGTATACGAAATGTGTGGAAGATGGCTATCAACTAAAAGTTAACAATCAAGCAAAGATCGTTTCGAAACAAGGTGTATGATTGACAAAAATTGTATGTGGCGAATGATTGCAAAGAGAATAAAAGATTGCGAAATGTTTCAAGTTAGGACTTTTATTGATAAACATACATGTTCAAGAACCCAAGTTTTTCCTCACCATAAACAGGCAAACAAAAAGGTGTTGGGTGGTTTTCTGGCTGAGTTAATGTTTTTGAATGGCAGGGTATATCGGGGACATGAAATTATGACTGACATGAATGCTCGGTTCAAGATTAGTATATCATATTCTCAAGCTTGGAGAGCCAAATGTTATGCCTTGGAATTGTTGAGGGGGTCGCCAGAAGCATCGTTTGCCCAACTGCCGGCTTATTGTCACAATTTAAAGCTGAAAAATCCTGGGTCGGTAACTCATATCAAAACAGATAGAGATGGACGCTTTGAGTTGCTGTTTATCGCCATTGGTGCTACGGTTAGTAAATCAATATAATTTTGTTGACTCATTTTGTTAGTTACATGCATTTCACATTTAAATGATTATATTTCTTGTGTATATTATTTTGTAGATTCGTTCGTTTATTACTTGCATGCGCCCAGTTATTATAGTTGTCGGAGCACATTTGAAAGGTCGATACCTTGGAGTAAACTTATTAGCAGTAGCCATGGATGCTAACAATGGGATATTGCCAATAGCTTACGGGGTTGGCAAATCTGAAACCTCTGATTCATGGACATGGTTTATGGGGCATCTTAGGGATTGCATAGGTCCTATTAGCAATCTGACAATCATCCGATAGGGCAAACTCAATTGACAACGCTGTTAGAAGGTGTTTCCCAGATGCTTTTCATGGACTTTGTGGTGTTCATTTGTATAGAAATCTAAAATCAAGGTCTGCTGGTATAAAAAAGCACAAATGGACATACTGGAAGGCTGTAAAAGCTTATCGGGAAGTGGATTTCAATAAGCATATAAATTGTTTAAGATGTGTTTTGCCTCAGTGTGCTCAAACACTAGAAGATGTCGGGTTTGAAAGATGGTCAAGAGTACATCAACTTGGAGCAAGATATGGTTTCATGACGTCTAATAGTGCAGAATCAATCAACGCTCTAAGTCGTCATTCCCGGAAATTACCCATTACTATGTTAATGGAGTTTTTCGAGCCTCTATTCAACAGTGGTACTACAAGAAAAGAAACCATGCAGTATTATTTCTTTGAATTCGTAACTTATCATATTTATATATTTTACTAAGTATTGTTTATTTAAATTTACAGGAACATTGGAACATCGTGTTACACCATGGACTGAAAAAAAGATAACGAAACGTGTTGTGAAGTCAACGTCATGGAGAGTTGAACCATGTTCAAACACTTTGTTTCAAGTACTGGATAATAACTAAAATGGGCTAGTCGATCTAAATGCAAAGACGTGTAGTTGTATGAAATGGCAAACATCTGGTTATCCGTGTGACCATGTTATAAAAGTTGCTCTTCATTTAAACCAAGATGATTCAAGCGCATACGCTATGGATTGCTACACTACAGAAGTTTATCGACAGACTTATGCCGAGATTGTCTACCCTATTCCACATCCTTCTGAGTGGGACATACCAGATGACTTACAAACAGTTTTGCCACCAGCCATGGACAGAAGGCTACCTGGCCGACCAAAAAGTCACGATCGGATACCGTCTAAGGGTGAAGAGAAGAAGAGATCGACATGTAGTCGGTGCAAGGAAAGTGGTCATACAAGGTTGACATGTGGATCACCAGTGCCATCAAAATCATCTTTTCCTCTACCAAAATATGGATCCTCATCAAAATCACAATTGGCTTCACCTTTTGGGACTGTTAACTTAGGTGATTTTTAAATGCAAACGTTGTATTATGTGGATTTTATGTGTGAACTTTTAACATTTTCAGTTGAATTAATGACTCATGCCAACCATTTTGACTTAACCAACTCTTGTTATTCAGTTGTTATCACTATTAGGCATGCATTTGACTATCGCAACACGGAAATTACAATCGCAACGAGAGAATCGCAATGCGAAATGAAAATCCCAACATGAAAATCGCAATGCGGAAATGAAAATCGCAATGCGAAATGAAAATCGCAATGCGAAATGAAAATCGCAACGAGAGAATCGCAATGCGAAATGAAAATCGCAATGCGAAATGAAAATCGCAACGAGAGAATCGCAATGCGAAATTAAAATCGCATTGCGATTCTCCCGTTGCGATTTTCATTTCCGCATTGCGATTTTCATTTCGCATTGCGATTCTCTCGTTGCGATTTTCATTTCGCATTGCGATTTTAA